CTGAATGGTAAAAACACAGGAGTGCTTTTCTTCAGCATGAACAATAAGGCTGGATAATGTTGCTGAGAAGATGAGTGGAGCTAAATATAAAAATCAATGCTAGAGGAAACCTGTTTGATGCTAAAACAAACAAAAAAAAAAAACAAAAAAAAGAGGAAAAAGATTTGAGACTGAGGCAGAGCATGACATCTGTAATCATACAGCCGGAGATACTGTACTGTATGACTCTTGTGGACCAAAGGATATTTTAAAATACCCCAGTCAAAATCAAGATCCAAATCCAATCTGTGTCTAGACAAAGAAATTTAAGTTTACAGAAAGTCTCCATGCAACATGACTGACCTAGAGGTCAATTACAAAGTGGAGCGGACAAAAACTTCAGCCTCTGATGTGCAAAACTGTAATGTATTTCACAAAATTTCATCAAAGTTTTGTAAATCGTCAGTTATGGAGTTGACACATCATGGTTGTGACAAACAACTTAGGAATAAAATGAAGAAAAAACTAAAGAATAACATAAGTTAACCAGAGCTAATTAGCCCTCTTAGCAAAGGAAGAGAAAAGAAGAGGTCATGGGGTCCTCAGAAGTTCTGGTGCCCCCCAATAATGCCTGATTTCTTTGCATTCTTTTCATGTCTGACGGTGTTGACAAAAACTAGGGACAAATTTCAATGTAGTTGGAAAATATATAAAACTTATTTTTAATTCAATGTATTGATACTTTTATAATTATTTATATGACTACTTATACTTAATTGTCATAATATATAATTTTAGAATTTCTTTAATTGTTTTAAACTATTATAATGTGTTGAGTTCTGCTCCGGGACAAGGGATTTTAAAGACACCAGCCACCTACTACAATGTTTAAATTAAAAACATATTCAGCAAATACCAGGAAAATAAGCCTTGTTGTGCTCACATGACCCAGGTTAGTTTAATCAGATATTTGAAAAAATAATATTTTGTGTATATTTTATTCAAATTTTGTGCTTTATCCATAGGACCTGTTTTGTCCCTATTCTCAAGAATCACTGAGGAGTAAAAAGTTTTTAATTATTTAAGCACACAAAACCAAGGCAGCTTTGCAATTGGTCTTGACAATGAGCTTAGCTGTTTTAGATTATTTTTTTAAAGGTTAAATGGTCCACATAACTAGCATAAAATAATATGATGAACTTCAACCATAGCTGTTGCTCTTAGAGACACCACACATAAAATATGTACATTTTGCAACAACCATTATGAGCAGCAGTATATACATATATATTTAAAGAATTTTAGTCATCCTTTTGCTTTCCATTGTGAGTCGGTAGTTTAAAAACCTAGCAACATATGTAGCAATATATTGTTTCAGTTCCCGAAAGAGCTGCCTTAATTTAAATTCAGCATAAAAAAATGTATTGGATTTTCACTTAACACTGTTCTGATGTGGACCATCCCTTCATTTTGCCAATGGAAAACAGTGTCCCATCTACTTATGTAGCCAATGGTTTCCCCACATAGCCCACATTTTGAAGCTGTTATACCAATTCCAGTTAACAAATTTTAACCCAATGGATAATTGCGTTTCAAAGAAAGTCTTGGTGATATGAAAGCTTTTCATACATTTACAGCGCTCAGCTCGCTGGAAACGTTTGCCACGAGGCCTGTGACTTTCTTTAACCAAGTCATGCTCGATTCGACTCGATGACGGCCTGACCTTCAGCCCGTCTTTGTCCCAGTGCTACCATGACCCACTGAGTCAGTGGAAAACTCATTTAAACCTAATTACATGGGCCAGGCTTCTACTTCTCTTACTTTCTTTCACAGAAGAGCCACTTTCTTTCTTACACCACTTCTCTATTCTCCTTTGCTTTCTCGCTGTCCTTTTCTCTTTGCTCTCTTGTTTCTTGTCTCCTTGTGCTCCAATTACTGGATCAAGGCAGCCCCGCACCACCAGTCAGCCAAAACACACACACAGGACATCCAACACTCTAGTGTGATCAAGAGGCCTGAAGTACAAAAGCTTTTACATGGTGCATTGTTATACCACTGGGGTCAGCAATAGGTTAGGGACCAGTCTTAATTAGTTTACATAACTTATATGCTTCTGCATTTCTTATGGCCATAAATATTTCTTTGGGACATAAAGGCAAACTCTAAATACACATCTACATGGCACAATGCACTGATGACAACAAATACATATTTTCATATTCTCCTGCTGGTTTAAGATTTAAAACTATGTAGTCAAATGAGTAAAAATGTAAAGAAGCCAACAAAAAGTCAGCAAAAGAAGCCAGACACAAAAGTCATATTAAAGATAGATGACAGTGTGGGTTCAGCACATGGGTTATATGTCCTGCCTTGCAGTGTCAACAGGAAGTAACAGATGGTAAACCAAAAGAAAATCTCAATGTCTTTGTTGTAAATGTAAAAAAAATGTTCCCAAATAAGTATAGCATGAATGGGTTCTAGTACTTAAATATAACATGACAGAATGTGACAATAAGCAGCATAAATACTACCGAGTTCTAACTTTGCACTTGCACTCGGTGTGGTGTTTACTGTAATTCATCAACCTCAATAACTAAATAACTGAAAGTTATGAGGAACAGTTTAGCATCTGCAGCCACTGTATGAAAGCTCATGCTTGTTGTGCATCTGATAATTTTTTTAGTCCATTAAAGTTACAAGCATTAACTGGATCATGTTTACAAAGAATCTAATTGAAATCAGTTCCAAGACATCATCATCAGCAGCAGCAGCAGCAACAACAACAACCGCAGAAAAATGGCCGCCGCCATTACCAGTCTATATTACTCTTCCAGAAAGTTTAGGTACACTCAGGATCTGTATTAATTTGTTTGGGAAATCCTCACTGCTCTACATGGCAATAGGACCCACGAGAAAGGAGAGAATCCAAGGCCAAACCATATGGACGGAGGCTGAGGATCAACAAATGCCTGATGATACTCTGGTAATGGAGTGGGTCAAGTAGAAGTACTCACTCTGGCACATTAAAAATAAATAAATGCATAAATTCATGGCTATGCATGTACAAAACCATACATATGTAAACAGAATAAAAGCAAGAAATAGTCGTCCTCTTAATACAGTTAGAACATTTATGTTTTAGCAATTGCTAGAACTTTTGCAAAAGCAAAAAGAGAGACTGAATTTCTTCTGACAGTCCAGACATGTTTGATGCTCAAATCCACTTTAGTAGAAATGCTTTACAAATGGAAATTAGAATTGTTGCAACTAATGATAATTCTCATTGATCACAACATGATAAATATTTCAGATTTGATTTCATGGTACATTCTACTTCAGGGTTGGGAGTGCATGCAATTCTGAATAAAGTTATACAACTAAGGAAAAAGGAAACATAATGTAGCAGAATGAGTAAAACCTTGCAACTCTCAGCTATTCTTAGCGTGTCGGAACCACAATCTTTATGCAGGCGATCTAAATGAAGAGATTTCAGACTTACATTCGATTCTTCAGAATTATTAGTGCGCTTCTGGCGCCCTCTTCTGACAATTTCAGGCTTTTGGGGAAACAAACTTGTAAGACTGAAAAATAAAAACAAAACAAAAAAAAAACTAATTATATCGTAAATGTCAACACTGATAGATTAGTTTTAATAAACTGTGTGTAAAATGGGATGCGTTTAAAATTAGAACATTAAAAAATAATATGCTATTTTATGCTTACCTTTTCTAGTCAACGATACGAAACCTCAACAAGTATGTAAAACAAATGGCATGTGAATTGGACGATTAAATTCTAACTTTTAGCAGCGTCAGTCATCGTTTTAGCTCAAAAACAAGCGGAAATCCAGAAAACAAAACAAAAAACGTAACCTCACGCAGCTGCTTCTTCTGATCTAATTAATACCGCCCTCGCGGTAGTTTGTTCACGCAGAAACGGACTCGAGCCTTCTTGTTGGTCCAACTTACTGCCTCGATTCCTATTGAGCGGACTCTGCCGCCGCAATGTTTGCAGCTGAAAAAGAGACCGCATAATTTCCTTTCCACTTTGCTATTTACTGCTTCAGTCTAAAATCTGAGAAAATGTATATTATATTATACATTTCCTTAAAGTTGGTGACATCACAATAAGTACTAAAATGAAGCTGTCAGTAGTAGGCTAGGTAAATAATAGTAAATAAAGCCCAACTTTGTCAAGGAATGCCACCTCAAGTGCAGGTGGTGGAAGACAGAATAACCACTCCTATTGGACAATGTCTCCATTGTGTCTCCCACCCCATGCATGGAGCTGTTGCTGAACTGGAGAGCTCCTTCAGTGACAGACCGGTGCACCCCAGATACATAAAGGAGCCTTAGGACTTTCCTCCAGAATCAGCTTGTTTTTATAAACATCACTGCTCTGAACTAAAGCTAGCTGGTTGTTTACATGCCTATTGGTATTTGTACAGCGTTTCTCATTTCAAATACTTTCCCTGCAGTTATTTGCATTGTTTTTCCCACTTCTTGTAAAGAATCTGTTGTTTCTTAGTGCAAATATACATTCACATTCTGTACATTTTTTTTTAAATTATGCTACTTAGTACCACATGTCTTTCAGTCTGTGTGCCATTTTAAATCAATACAGTATTTTCTTAACACTGCACATACATTTGCCTTTCTTGTAGAGTACCATAAAGTTTGTTTCTATTCTATTAAGAATAGGCAGATTTAAATTTTGATTCTGAAGCATTTGACTAACTTGAGCTTCCCCCTTACTGAGCTACAATTTTGGTCATTCGGTGCTTGCAGCAATCTCTTCCTGCTTTTCCCCTATAGTGTTCACTGGAATGGTAGAGACAGATGGACTGAATTGCATTTGTTCAAACAAACTTAAAAATTTTTTTTGAACTCTACGAAGTGTGTAAATAAATGACTCAAATGTATTGGTAAAAACAAAACAAAAAAACACCGATCAGCCAGAGACATGTTTGAAGTTTGTTTCTAGGTCTGTAGGCGTGGCACAATGAAAAGTTCTGAAAATTATTCATTGAAGTAAAACAGCTTTATTAGTGTACACTGTAAGAAGTCGTAAATGTTGGATAGCTGGAAAGCCTATTGAGATCATTGCTTGAAGAACATCGATTCTAACAGGCTGCGTTTTAGTGGATATGCTCCGTTTATAGCAAGCAGAGGGAACAACGTGTATGGAAAAATAAAAAGTAACAACTATATAACATTATACAACATCACAAGTGACATGTAGGAACTTCACTTTATCCAAGAAGCTTCTTTCATAGGACATTTGCTGGAAAGATGCTTGTTTTGGAATACACAATTGTCATCACAATAAGAAGAAAATACAATATGATCTGTATGTAGGAATGCAGACATCAGAATGTTTTAAAGTGTCCTTCACAACCGCATTTGACTCCAGATTGCCTCTAAAAGGGAGAGCAGCTGGTTGGTCTGACAGTACAATCTATTGCAAAGGCTCTTGATGGATCCTGGCAATATGCACGTAAAAGGTATAGCCATTAAGAAGATTTCCTGGGCATACAGTTCGAACACTTTTAGGTCAATGCATAGAACTAACACTTGTATCATTGTGAAATAAAAGTAAACGTATCTTAGACTCAGCTTGTAAGACGTTGGCTGAGCCAGCAAAATTACAAGACAGGTGGGAAAGTTCCAGAACAGAGGTATAATATAATCGGCTTCAGGTCATGAGTAACTTCAATCCAATTTAAAGAAAGAAAAAAAAAAACTATTAACAGTTCTCCATGACAAGGTGTCATTGTGGGTTAAATAAACATCCAGACAAAGCTACTCTGCAGCACTAACATTTGTTCTTATGCACTTTTGCTTCAAATTTGTGCAGACAAATGCTTTAAATCTAGCCTCTGCAAAGATATCAAATGAAAAAAAACAAAAAAAAACAAAACAAAACAAATCTAAACCTTCTGTGATTTGTCTTACCAAACATATTTGTAATGTGCAGTTTCCCTTCAGTTTTAGCATGCAAACCAAATAATTCAGTTTTGTTTGGAGAAAATACACAGATTGAAATCATGAGTCAAAATGACATTTAGATGTTTGACCTAATTTTCAAATTTCTTTCTTTTTTAAGACATTCTGTTCACGCGTTTAATGTCCACTTAAACAGAACACGGCCTGGAGTGAATATGAGCATGTAAACAAAAATCTACAGTGTGTAAGCACAGAGTTTTGAAACTGTTGTTTCACTAATGCTGGTGAGAGCTTTCATATGCATAAGAGGCATGGGCCACTTACCTCGACCAAAGTTTATAAATTATCTTGAGGTACATCCCACATGATCTAATAAAAAGCAGGATGATAAAAATGCAATATGCACACTTATTTAGACTTGTATGAACTTAGACATATGATACGAATAGAAATGTCAGATTATAAAACTGTAATACCCACAGTGTTCATCCAAATGTGCTGCAATATGGTCAGGACATGCATTTTTGACTTAAGTCTTTACATTAATCTTTAACCGTCAAACTGTGAAAATCCTATAGCGACCCATGTCTATTGCATACAGGAATGTTCTGGGTTGTAAGACATTTCAACAGTTTCCTCAGTTGTAAAATAGGTCAAATTACACCAAAAATCTGCTATTTCATTATTTAATTCTCTCTAAAAAGGTGATATGACTGATCAAGCTATGCGCACGCTTAGTCTTTGGTTACACCCCAGCTTTTGCGCTGCTGAAAAGTTGGTAACAATTAAATTATCTATTTAAAAAAACCCAACAACAACAACGACATTGAGAGTAGCTAATTATAACAATCAAAGATCTCGTCACTTTGATCCAAGTAGCCAAATTCTGAGTTGAAGGGTGCACATTTCAACATGTTTTTATTGGCAAGTTACTGGAAATTGTAAATCCTTATAATACACCAAAATCACAAGTCATCATCAAGCTGCAACTATTGAAAACAAAGGGTATTTCCTAAAGAACAAAAAATACCATCTAAGAAAAAGAGAACATTTTAAATATATTTATATATATATATATAAAAAAGGTACAAAATTAATGTAGCTAAAACCATTTGTAAAGAAAATGATAAATGTGTAGTATAACTAGCTTGTTGAACACTTAAAGCTTGAAGACCTTACTGCAAAATACCAAAAGAGATTGCTGGTTTTCAGATCGACGAATGCATTGGGTGACTGAAGAACAAAATTCTTTACAATGGCAATGGAGGGCAGGAGAAAAATGTATGTTTACTTTTAATGGACAATTCAGAGCACATTATATTTGACATCGAAGGCAACTTTCTTAGGGGTGCATAATTTGGGGCAGTGCAAGTACAGTATAGAAGCTATTTTATAGATTTATAGATTAAAGTCCCACCTTGGAGGACTTTTTCTCTTGATAATTTGTTATAATTTGAAAACTGCATCAGTTCAAAATATTAGACTTGTGCATTTTTTTTTTTAAACATTTGGAAATCTCAGAGATAATCCTCTTATTGCGTGTCAGACAGAAAGAAGCAAAGATGAAGCTCTAAACAAAGCTACTGGTACATCGTGTAACAGAAGGCGTAAGAGCATGCAACGTGGGTTAAATACTGTGATATCAAAGAATTTGTTAAAAAAACACTTGATTGGTTTCCTGCAGATGCAGAGAGGTGGGATGTTGTATGCTCTTCTCATTGCTCCAAGACTTTCTTAATTTATCCATTATTTATTTGTGCTGAGCAATCACTGATACCGCTATAAATATGTTTATATATAGGAGTTTTAATTTACCAACTATCCAATGAACAAACATCTTTAAACTTACACTGAGTTTGCAGAAGACAATTTGTTTTAAAAACAGGGTGTTTGTGTGCATGTGATGATACAAACACCAACAAATTGTCTCCTTCAAGAGCTGAAGAGCACACTCCAGGATAACCAGGTCAATGATCACAACAACTCGGATAAAACAGGATGGATGACGGGGGGTTGGGGGGAAAGTCATGCTAAGTAGTGAGTCCGACTTTGGTTAAATAGAAGCTGGAGTGGCAGTTGGTTAATGTTGTGTAAACTGAACTATTCACACTAAATCAATGAGTTGAGCTGAGCTGAGCTAGTGGTTAGGACAGACGGTTTCTAAAAATTACTAGGTGTCGTGCTTGATCCCCAAAACTGTTGTGTCGTCCCTGAGGACAGTAAGGCTCAGTCCTGCTTCAGGTTTCTTGATCAGAGCCCAGATGTTGACGTCGTCGTTGTCCATAATGAAAATCACTCTCTCTACACCGAGTTCTCATATGGATTTTGCAGGCCAATTTCAACTATAAGGGTTGACGAATATTCAGCTCCACAAACAAACTTCCAGGGTAATCCTTTACAGATGCCGTTCTTCTATCGTCTGGTCCATTGTATGACATTTTGTTCTTTGCTTTAATTTTTTTTTTTTTAAACGCTATTAGTACATTATTTAAGACTGCATGGTAGTCTCCTTTAAGACAAATTGTTTTGATGTTGTGAAATGTCAGTCTGACTTTGCATGGATCTCGTTTTAGGACATACTAGAGCAGCGAGCTTGTGGGGTACCCATCTGGGTCAGCACTTTATCCAACCACTGGAGGGGGCCATTGAGATGCAGTTCGATCCAACAAGGAGTGCTGGTTACAGTCTGGCGTCTGTGTGAAGAGGACATTCCAAAAGATAAGGGCAAATACATTTATACACAAAATGCCAATTATTTTCCCAATTACACATTTAGTAAACTTTTTTTTTTATATACAATGAAACACTAATCTGATAGGAATCTTAACAGCCTATAGTTGTTCATACACCAATTACAAATATTTCCTACCCTTGAACCTTTTAAGAATTTGTCACTTTACCACAAAAAGATATTTTATTTTATTAGCACACACCACCAAACAGTTCTGCGCTGTTTGGTGTTGGTGGAAGAAAATTACACATGGGCTTCAAAAGAAAAAAAAAAGTTTTATGCATTTGTCTTCATAAGTCACCTAAACCAGTTAGAGCTCACCTGTGTGAAATTTAATCTCAGTATAAATACGGTTGATCGCAGAGTTTTGTTGGAGAAAATCACCTAACAAATGACCATCCGCCTAATTAACAGGCCAAATATGGACAGCATTAATCAAAGCAGTCAAGAGCCCCATGTTACCCTTAAAGGAACTACTTTGGTCTATAGGTCATGTGGAAGAATCTGTGGACAGGATAACATTTAGTTCTGCACTCCAAAAAACAAAACAAAACAACAAAAAAAACCTAGCATTTAAGGAAGAAAAAGGGGGAAAAAAAGCATTAGTCCTGTTTACACATTGCCACAAGTCATGTAAAACTATCCATAAAAAGGCTGAAAGCACCAGAAATGAGATCTTGTTACACTCTGAAACACTAAGAAATTTTTACAAGGCAACAGTGATCTGATAGGAATCTTAAAAGCCTACAGTTGTCCTGGATGACAGAATGATGGAATAATGAGTGTAAGGGCATAACTTACCTATACTCTGCTCCCCAACCCTTGACGAAGCTCATTCTGATTGTGCACATTCTGGTTAGTTGGTACACTGCCTCAAAGCCCTGGTTGACCGACTGGGCTAGCAGGGCTGCGAACTCCTGGTTGTTAAAAATCTTCAGATTACAGCCTAAGAAGAGTAGAAATAAAGACCAATGCACCTAATAATAATTCTTCAAATTCTGACATGCTAAAAACTCTTCTGAAAACTAGAACAAATACTGTGAAATTATGACCAATCAGAACTGTTGAATTTACTTTGTGAAGCTACAATTAGAGAAACAAGAACTGTCGTGTGTGTGTGTGTGTTGTCTACTGAAGGCCCTGAACATCTGCAACATCCCCATCTTCACTTTGCACGATTCTCTGTAAAGCGACCCTCTACCTCAGCTCACCCAGTCCATTTGGCCATGAATTAAATGTTCAAAGTTACATGGGTACAGATGAGTCAGTGTGTGGGCGAGTGTGTGACAAATCCTGTCACATTATGGAGGCTCTTTCTGGCTTTTGTTCATTTGTATCAGTTTACTTGGTGAATTTTTAGTACAAACAAGACACAAACCATCAACAAAGGAAGTAAAAGAAAAATAAAAAAATAAGAATATTTTAATGTGTATCAACCTGGTGGTATCTTGCAGACGGTAGCTGGGTGCCACCCATATCGCTGGTTGCAGTTGGGACTCTGAACAAAGATGGCACTGTCACTGAGGCACTCGGCAAATACCTCCCCTCCGATGTAATACAACCTGACGCCACGACCTGCAGAGGTTTAGACAAAACGTGAGGAGAAAAGAGAGGGTGGGGGGGGGAAATCCCAAGGTGTTAACTAAAAGGGGAACAATCTTAAAACTACACGGCCTTTCAAATTAGAATTATTAGATTTCATCATCTTTACATGAGTAATAAGATAAATCAGAATCGGAAATGTATTTATATCCCGTGAACTTTATTTTTACATTTCAGTGCATCTTATTTGGATCTGAAAAATCTGAATTTCTAAGCACTTACGTCAAATACATGTACGCTAAATGCAACTTCTCTAAAGCAATTTGTGATTATTAGTACATTTTAAAAGGAGCAAACCTGTTGCATGTGTGAAGGTATTAAAAAACAACAACTTTCCACTATAATATTCCTATGTTATAAAGATGTTTAATTGAGAAGTCAGAATAATTCAGCACTGCCCCTCTCCCATGTGTTGCCGACATCGGCTATTACATATCTTCACAGAAAAGACTAATGGAAAATGTTTTCTGTCGCCACACCAGAAGAGTGTTGACAAATAATAAATAAGCACCCTTTTTGTAATCGTAATAAGTTCTAATAAGCTACTGTCTATACCTATATGCCTCCGTGTCATCTCCACAGTGGCATTTCTGTTGACATTGCTGAGAAGGCCTAAACAGAAGCGTTCCGAGTTGGAGGGATCTGTGAAGCCGTCGACGGTCAGAGATGGCTGCGAGGCGTGGAAGGTCTCACCGACCCGCTGGTTCAGCTCGTAGTAAGCTATAGAGCACCAGAAAGCTGGTTCACTGTAAGTGACCGGCTGAAGGTCTGAGAGGAGAACATCAAAGAAATATTTGTTCAATTTGTATTTTCGGACCCCGAACTGCGTCAGTGATCCATTCATTTCCGCAGCTGGAAAATGATTTTAAGAAGTGAACTCACCCAGGCCATGACTGACCGGTGACAGAGCGCTTGGTGACATTTCTGCTGGTGAGCCTGGTGGGAAAACAATCACTTCTACTTATTTCATTCTATTACAATCTTAAGTGAACAATAATATTGCTGTGAAAACCAATATTTTGTTCTGTCATTTTGAGACCAGTTATATTTAGTGCGATGATGATGTTACCTCTGCTACTAATACAAATGATTAATAATTGTTCATGGCGGGAAGGCTTGAAAAATCTATTGTGAACTTTGTTTTCTACCATAGATTGAGATTTTAAACACAGTGGGATACAGAGAGACGCAATTTTATGCACATTAACTGGTCTGAAATGGTTGCCCTGGTAATTTTTGTATGCTTCAGAGAAGTGAGTTTAACAGCAGTCCCGAACTACAACCATCAAATCTACCTGATTCCATACTTTGATTCATTTGCTGGTCGCTGGTTTCTCCGTCTTCACTCATGTATCCCGGAGGAGGAGTGTCTGTAAACAGGAAATAATTGAATGCATTTGTTTTCATGAAAAACTAATTAGTGAAGAGCTGAAATGTGGCATCTGTTTTCCAAGCGCTTCCGCTTGGAAAACGGAAAACAGACTGAAAACAGGCTGAATACACAAACCTATTTTGTGTATTCAATCAGCTCCAACTTGATCTTACTTCTAATACGTTTTATTAAAGTTTTCATGCCTAACAATTTAGGCAGCTTTATGGCAGAAATGTAATCATTGCTGAAGTGAAATCACTTTAAAATAAAATGATTGTATTTTAACTAAGTGATTATTACCCAAATGTTTTCCAGGGATTTTATAAAAGGAAAAACTATTTAAAACAATGACGTCATTCAACTCTACAGTCAGACATTGAATTGAAAATGTTGGGCTTGTTTGACAGATTATGTGTGAAGGTGGTTAAGGTACCCTTGTGCCCAATACAAACCTGGTATATAGTTGTTAGGAGGTTCTATGCCTGCAGGAAAGTTGGTGTTTTCAGGGATAGAGTTTGTGAAGTCGTCTAGAGGTGGAAGCTCGGTCAGAATCTCTGTGTGGCGTGGCACCAACACAGGAGGCAGCACTAAGAAGAAAAGTCAGACAATTTGTTTTTTCCCCCTATGCAAGTCAAATTTGAGGAGATAGAAACAACATACTTGAAAAACGCCATAAAGACGCTGTACAATGACAAGGAAGACACACTTAAACTACATGGATTTAATTCAGCCCTGCTAGTGCACATTTATTGGAAAGAAATGTTTTTTTTTGTTTTCCAATTATCATTACCAGGCGTCTCCACTCTCTGGTAGTGGTAAGGATTGACACAAACTTCATCCTTCTTGAGGTTGAATGCATATTGGCAAGTGTCGATGGCCCTAAGCTCGTGGTGACTGTGAAGGTCAGGCCATCTCCACAGGCGGCAGTAGATGACATGAGGCAGGCCTTTACGATGAGAAACCTGAAGGCGGCCATCCAGTGACCTGATGCAACCGGGAAGGAAACAGGCAGATAACTCAACTCAGAAAACTGGAAGAACAGTAGATAGACACTCAATGCGTTTGTGCTGCACTGACTTTCAAGTTTGGTGTTATTTATTGAGGTAATACACAAAGAAACAATGAACTATTGAGGTTAAATATAAAAAAAAAATCATTTTGAGGAGACATTATTTATACCTTAAAACACAGCTTTTAACTACAACTATGAGGTCAATATCAAATGACAATTCTGATTGTAATAAAAAATTCTTTTAGAAAGATTAAGCTGTTATAACTAAGCCACAAGGCTCTTCTAGGAAAAGTGTAGTAAAATGTTAATGTATTTTATGGAATTTTTTAAACCTACAAATAGTAGAACCAGATTGTGAAGTGGAAAGGAAAAAAACTAAAACTGTGCTGTGCAACAAGTCCATAATTTAGCACACTTTATTCTAAACACCCTAAATAAAGTGTAGCACAACCAATTGCCCTCAGATCTCAAATAAGTAGATAAATTTGGTTCAATGAAGGAGGTTTGGTTCAATGATGAAGAAAACATGGTGCTGGCAGCAGGGTGCTGTGGGGGCATGTTTGTTCAGTCAGTATACGGAAAGTTGGTAAAAGTTGGTAGATGTAAGGAAACACAGGAGAGGAGTTCTAAAAGCAAACCACAATCTGAGAAATACAAGACACTTCCAGGAAAACACTACACAAACAGCATGACCCAAAGTACATTAAGGTGTTAGAATGGCCTAATTAAAGTCTTGGCTGAGAACCAACTGAGATTGTCTGACTGAATGTGAGCTAATTGGCATAAAATAGGGAAAACAATCAGTCTATGGATTTGCAGACCTTAGCAAAATGCCCCGAGGCTCAAACTGTTTTCCTTTTCTTGTCACTGAACACTTCAGGACATTCCAGACATTCTTTGTCAATACCCTAACTTGTCAGAGGGATTTGGTAACAGAAGATGGACCACAATATTGGTTATATTGCCATAATGACATGGCTGATTGGTACAAAAAAAAGTATTTAAGAATAAAAATAAACACCTACAGGCTCTTCTCATCACTTACTCTGCAAATTGTTAAATGGTTAAGGTATTTCTATAATTGCAGCAGTAAAACCAACATAAACAATAACAATGAAAATGAGGACAAAATGCAATCTGCAATGGTAATGTATGTTTTAAAGCAACAAGTGAGCATTATTTTATGCTTTTGTGTGAAACAGGAGATGCGTATTGACAGTGCATGCGAGTGTATTCACCTGCTATGGTCAGGGTATCCGTACATGCCTGTAGAGTCCCACTGCTCTATCGTGTGGCCTGAGCCCAGACCCCACAGTTCTGAGCAATTGCTACAGACACACACATACACACACACAGGACAAGTGGAAAACATGATCAAAATAAAAGCAAACAGATGGTAAACATGAGGTGTTTCAACTTAAAAGAATGAAATCACAAATGTGCATCGTTGATCTCTTGATAAACACACACACAAAAGTATCCGCTCACCCAATTCCAAAGTAATGGAATTCAGCTGTTCCAATCACTTTTATTGTCACACATGTCTTTTGTTATTAAAAACAACTTCAAGCACCCAGGAACCCAGGCTTCTTTTATAAACATTTGTGGAAAAAATACAAATTAATCCTAACCTGAAGGTTGAAATCCAACAACCTTGAAGGAGTTTTGGTTTGGCAGCTTCCAAGAGAAAGGCGTTGCCTGACCGAACTGTTACAAATACAAGGTTATCTTTGTATTTTTGTGAAAGCCCCAATCCGAAAATGCTTCCTGCACTGTAAGAAGATAGGTTGAACAATTTTGAAATGATTTAGAATTTGGAGACTGGAAGAAAGGTCTCCTCGTCCAACATTAATGGATCAATAATTGCACTGCAATCGGCTGATCAATGCTGTAATAAAGCCGATGGATTAAAAATGGATGTCTCTTAACTTCATATGTGTTTGAAGACAGCAGAGCGAATACTTTTGGCAGCATTTTCTTACTTTCCACTAAGATCAAGCAGATGAACAATGATTATATGACAATTTCAAATGAGACGAGAAGTGATATGATGCAATCAAACGGTGCAAGGAGCTGGAAGAAACCTAACATTTATCTAGGAACACATTTAGTTAACTGGGGGGAAAAAAACTCAACTATAAATGTATCTTTATAAACCGAGTAAAACCTTTCAGTGATATTAAAAAATTAAACCAACATGAGATTAGTGATAATATGTAAAGTATAGAAGTTTGTCAATTTCTAGTTTCTCGACAATTAGAAAAAGTCTCACCCCTTATTTGAGTTGCACATGTATAAAAAAAAAGTTACATTCACGCCTATTTCCAAGACAAAAGAAGTGAAATGGAAAGAAAGACAAATTACACAAATATATCTTAATGAAGACAAAGAAATTCAAAAACAAGACTAAAGGATTTAAATTGGAAAAAGAAAATCTGAATCTAAACATTTTTATGTGAATGACCAAAATGTTGGTTGGTCTGTTGCAATGTTTCTCACCATGTTCAGGCAGAGAAAGGGAGATTTTTCACTCTGATCAAAATAATTGTCTTGCCTGTCTGTACAGGACTTTCTATCTCCAAACACATTGACACACAAAGTTTTGCAGGTACAAGCAGAAAAAGAGTTTAATCAAATGTAAAAAAAAATGTTTTTCCAAGTGTCTTGCTCACTCGAAAGCTAGAAACAAACACTATTTACAGGTTTGCACATGAATTATGATAGAAGTACATAGAAATCCTATTCAGATGCTCTCCTGACAGTCAAGCCCCAGCTCTTGTAGATGAAAACTGCAAGACAATATCCAGAGCAATTCACCTTAGCTTCCATCAGACTTACTTTCTCACGTTAAAAGGAAAGAATGATATGCATCAAAAGCCTGGAATCCTAAAAGTAAACTTCTGTGTTCGTGTGGGTATTACATCCCGACATTTCAGAAAAGATGAAATGCTAAAATTAATTCTGTAGCAAAACAAGTCATTGAACCTGAATATGCAAAAAAAAAAAAGTATGCCTCAACCGTGTCACAACTGAAAAAAATAAACAGAAAAAAGCTGACCTAAAAACTTCTCAATCTCAATTCCTGAAACTTCTTGAGAAGTTTTACAACAACAATAAAACAAATAGACATAATCTCATAATCCCAACTTCAGAATTAGGTATAGAGCAAAGACATTTAAATCCGGGATGAAAATATGCATCAGGAATAAATCTCATTTGGTTTGTCTTTTAAAAAAGCCATAGGTGTCATTTGTACATGCGATGGACAAATAAATGTAGGAGCCTTCTTTTTGTCATGAGCATAAAGGAGCAAATAATATTTTGTAAATAATTACACTTTAAAGCAAAGTTGGCAATTTTAATGGACTTTCATAGCAACTTTTAGAGCAACTTTGCATTAAAAGTGTCATTTTTTACCAAATGACACTTCATGACAACAGTCACAGACATTCATAAAGGCTCGTTCATGTTCATGACAGGTGTTGTGTTGCGTCATGTTTATGATACCGTTATGTCAGTCTTATGCACACCCCGTCAAATAAAGTGTTACCCTATTTTGCTGTAGTAAAAGCGCAAAAGTAGGCGCATAAAGCTCATTTCAGAAGATAACATTTTCATAGAATCTCTATACATTTTCAGGCTACTAAAACTGCTATTTCCTGGGAGTGAGATTATGATCAGCTCCAGCTTAGGGCCACATTGTTCTGTTCACAGAGAAAGCCCAGATGCAGATAAAAACACATCGTTTCTTTATCTTTTCTAGTGCAACCTGGCTCCAAAGCAATAACTCTCGACTGATAAGAATGTTTTGCTTAACAATAGAAGTGCCACACCGCGTAAATCACCCCTTTTCTTTAGAGGTTTCAGATTCAAAGACAATATGCCACATCAACTTTGAAAACTTTAAGTTCTGATGCACGTAGCAACTCCCTTTCCTGTGCTTTTATCTGTTGCTGGATTGTTTCATTTCAATGCATCTTCACCTAAATGTGCTGCCAAACCTATCAGCTTTTGTGGCCGAGTGTGTTTTACTTACAAAGAACATTGTGCTGAAACCTTCTTTGTAAGGCATCAACAATTAATTAGGGCTGCAACATTTAGTGATGGTAATTAACAACATTGAGCTAAAATTAGATTGCAGATGCTTTGCATAAAACCACATACATGTTTTCAATGCAAACAGGAAGTTGCTGAAACATTATATCCACTTTCTGATGAATTAATATTACACAATATACTTAATTATACATTATTCTAATTTGAGACTGTGGCTTTCTACGAAATATGAGACCTTATGAACAAACATCCTGCAGGTAGACATTAACGGGAGTCCTCTTTATAATCTTTATTTATAAATTAAGTTATGAAGCATAGAGAAATGCAGCACTTCCCTCACCCATCTGTTAATGTACACTGGAGGTCAGCTGGAAAAGCAAGACAAAGCTGGATTTTGGATCCAATGGGGCAGTTCAGTAAAAAGCTTTTCCAATAGTTTGAAGAAATCTGAATTACCTTTCAGGCCTAGCTCAAAATCAAAATAAAAAAGAAAGTACAGGAACACCTGGACTGAATCGTTCTATACTAAACAGATGTTATTTTAAAGAGTTTGATTAGTGCTTGAAGATATAAAATGTTTCTCCTCACTGTGTAATAGTGCAGTTTTTTGCAGCATCTTTGACTGGATGGTCCACATGCCCAATCCGTCCTTCATGATTCATTTTGATTTATTGTGATAACTTATACAACAGAGTGAGAACAGAAGGTGTGCCAAAAGAAAGCAGAGATGGATTAAAATACCTTTTGACCAACTAGAAAAAAAATGCAGACATATTAGTCAGAGACATCATTAGTTGCAGCTATAATAAAAATATTCAATACAATCTAATGCCACCATTATGTCATCATAAAGAGCAGGGGCTGCAAATATGTTTCCACTATTGTACGGGGACGAAATCACACACACAACAGCGAGTGTGAAGCGAAGGGGATGAGTGGAGATGTGTGCGACACACTGCTTTAACCAAACACGTTTTATTATTCTACGTTTCTGAGGGGAAGTACACTTAAAGGCAGCACAACTTAATCTGCTGGGCCTGTGTGAAGAAATACTTTTAAAATCAGATGATGTGAAAGTATCAAGTGGAAGAGGAAACACCATTTTTAAATATCTTTATTGATGTCCATCAAGTCAAATCTAGAACCGGTTCTGCTGGTGATAGGTGCAGGACATCTGTTTCCTCAAGCTGGGTTTCACTTCTGCAGCCTTCTTAACCTATGGCACGACACAACAGGGAAGTGAACCCACTGTTGCCCAACAAAAACTGCACTTCTGATGACCGTGTGGGTGCTCATCATCCTTTTCTTTACATTTTCGTTTCTTCATACACCACTGCTGTGCTTATCAAAAATCTGTGGTGCTGGAGTGTGTGTGTGTGTGTGTGTGTGTGTGTGTGTGTGTGTGTGTGTGTGTGCCTGTGTGTTGAATTAGCAAATGGCAGGTTCTAAGAAGAAAATGCTCTTGGAAACAAAAAGATTTTTAGGCGTGTGTTTGTTCAAGGATTCCCACAATCACACAAAGGTTGGATCTGGTGTGTTTGCATCTAAAAATTCATATCACCTGCCCTTACCTTGGTATTGTTACGCATTTTGTGTTGCTGTTTTGTGCGCTGATGGCTTTCTCCAGCTCATCCAGCTGGCCGGTCTTCTTCAGCTTCTTCACCAGGCTTTTCACAGCTTTCTCGCACCATTTCTCCTCCTGCCCTCCTCCGTTCTGCTCCCCGACTCCACCGATTCCTCCGCCCGCTCCTCCGCTCCCGGCCGGAGTCTTCTTCCATCCCAGGAGGCGCTTCACGACCGGGGGTGTGAAGGGAAGAATGGAGGACATGGTGGCTCTTGCTTTCTGTCACGTGCGCGCAAGGGTTCAGACGGCCCTTGTAACTTGATATTAGGTGAAGATTTGTGAGGATTAGGAAGACGAGGTTTAACTTCTATTGAATCAAAAAAAAAATTGCACCAATATAAACGGATTGTGTGCAGGTTCTGGAAAGCAATTTAAAAACTAAGGCATTGGTCTAAAGAGGTCCTGGGGGTTCTTTGAGGAATAAAATGTAAGGAATAGAATAGAGCATCCAAGAAAACCTAAGAAAAGACAGAAAGCACCAATCAGTGGAAGACAGATTTTGATGAGATTGTGCACATTTCTTTCAGATAGAACAATACACATTTTCCAAGAAACCAAACGGCCTCAAGATCCAAGAATCTTCACAAGACAATAAACCAGGGTGGTAGTCAAAACACTACACACCCTGTTCTTAGAGGTGGTCCTAGACCATTAATTAGCTGCACTTTGTGCACAGAACTATAATCTGGTGTGTTCTAACCTCTAATAATCATACCTGTTCTGTTTCTCAATTGAAATAGGAAGATCAAATCAAACCTTGTGCACAACAGCTTTCTTCAACGACAGAGGAAAGCTGCAAATATATTTATGTTTCAATTTAAACACCTGTAAGAATGTTCAGCTAATAATCTCTAATGGCATAATGCAAACAACTCTAGTTATGTAATCCGTAAAAATGTATAAAACTGCCTGCGTATCCTTAAGTGGTGCTTCCTGACCTAGAAAAACTGCATAATGTCAAATTCAATAAAGTATGACATCACAGTCGCTCATATGCAGCTCTGTAAAAATCAATGTTAACATCTGAAGTATGCCGGTCCATTTGTGAACTCATTGATTTTACTCTTAATGTTGGAAGACGTCCATCCACCAGCATGCTTTTGCTCGTCTTCGCTTCGTGTGAAGGGGAAAAAATTAAGCTGGAGAATCAAAAATCAAAGCCAATTTGATCCACATAAAATATTTTCATCCCTCTTAAACTCTTTCCCTTTAAGTCTCATGACAACATCAAACTTTAATGTGACTTTAAGGAATTTTAGATCATAGAAAAACATAGCTCTGGAGATACACAATCTCCTCCAGTCTTTAGATTTCTGGAGCAACAACACTGATCAACAGAGCTTGAGGGATTCCTTTGTGAAAAAGAGCAATGCAGAATTTCTCAACCTAGCTGAGAAGGAAGACAGGATAACTCTCATCTGTGTGTTACTCTCTCCTAGAATGAAATCCACATGCTTAACCTCTGGACTTCTTCCGAACTGCGCAGTACACAGAAAATAGTTAACTCCAAATGAGGCAGCATTGGCTTCACGTGGTCAAAATATTCAATAGGTATGTTACCATCAGCGAGTCTGCAGCTTTTATTTCAGCTCTGGTGCATTAAAAACAACAATCCTGATTCACCTGAAATGAGAATATTATAGGATGCATTCCCACCAGCCCTGTTTGGTCTGATTTAATCAAACTCGAACTCGTCTGTCAAGAAAGTTCGGACTCATTAGGAGAGGTGTTAAACTTTGATGCGGACCTAAAAAGCAAACTGTGGTCCACCAAAGTCTTGGTACGGTTGAAGTGAAATCTAGTTTGGTAAAAATTTATATGTGAATGTCAAGCTGACTAGAGAAGGTTCCTAAAGCAGACAGTGGTCTACATTTATCTTACTTTATGGACTGTATTTACCCAGGGCATTCTGGGTAAACACAAACAAAACAAAAGTGCGAGCCCAGCACCAGCGGAAGAAATGTCTCGTGGTCTTTTACCAAATACAGAAGAGAAATCCTACAACCGCTAAAATCTAACGCCACGCCATTTTTGTTTACATTTTGTAAAGAAGGAACTTGCACTCCGTTTCATTTTCAGAGGTTTTTGTGTCGCTTCCTCCAGTAGTTCTTGGTGCAGCGCCACCACTGGCATGGGAGGGGAACAGATTTTTCAAAAGGTTTGGTTTGGTTGGCAGTGCAGAGTTCAAATGAATCACATCAGCTGAAAATGTAGCAAATGTTGCAATTTTGGTTCAAATTCAAACTGAAATTGATTGCTTTTCACACCTGACACAGAACTATCAAGTGTGAAAACATTATGAAACAAACTAAGTAGTCTGTTAGTTAAGACAACAAAAAATGTAATTTTAAAAAAGCCATCAACAATTGAAAAAAAAGTCTTAATTCCAGAATTCTACTATAATTTTTATATTAAAAAGAATAAGCAGAATACCATTTTATTCCCAAGCAGCAGAATTTCTATAGCTGTTTTTAATAGTGTAAAAATTATATCTACAGTAATGACCATGAAATAATTTTGTGATTTTGGGTCATCAGTACTTTACAGGTTTAACAAAGGGGCATCAATGTTTGATGATTGTCCACCTTTAACTATTTTATTCTATTGTAAATGAAATCCTTATTTTAATCACAAAAAAGGTGCCTGTTGCCAGCAGGCCACTACATTCATAAATGTACAAGCAACAGCAGATGTGAAGAATACAATACTGAGTGCTTCAGAGAGAGGGGCTTTCATGCCGTTGTAATAATTACTCCAGCTAAAGGTTTATACACAACTGAGAGGGAATATTTTCCTGAAACAACAGAAGCCTTTGTTGTTTGTTAGAAATACCACCAAAACGCAGTGCTATGCAAGAGCCCTCATACTAGGTATAGTACCATCAGTTTATGTTCCAGTCACTAGACCAGTAGTCACACTACTGCCTCAAAAACAAGTTTGTTTGTTTTTTCCTGTAGCTATTAGCTTAGAATTCAATTAATTATTCACATACCTACAGGTATCTTTCAACACTTTATAATACAATACACAGTTATGAATGACAGTTTCTGCAAAAAAAAAAAAAAAAAACTAACAAGAATTGAAATATGTAACTAAATAGTAAAGCAGTTTCCTTTTCTGTGTTAAATTCCTGAAATGAATTGGCTTTTATTATATTCAAATTTATCTACATACAAAAAATAAAAGTGACTTAATAAATCTGCTGATGCAAATGTGGCAAGAACTAAAATGCCAATAAAAACCAATTTAGTCACAAATTGCCAAAGTGGTTCCTTTAACCATTTCTATCTTTATGTTGGAATTTATCTTTAAATGAGTATCTCCCTTGTTTCAATCAATGTCAATGGAGGGACATAAATTCCCCCAGAATTTAGATTCTACAAGCTGAAACCCTCTCAATTTTAAACCAGCTCATAAAACCAAACCATTTTTTTTTGACAAGCAAGCCTATTGAAAATGTGGCAAGCATACCTAGCTACACCTTTAATAAATGTGCCAGCACCATTAGATGTTGCAAGAATGCATTACCGAGAGCTTGAGGGAGAGGGCTTTGATGTTGCTGTGGTAATTACTCCAGCTAAAGGTTAATACACAAATGAGAGGAAATAATTTCCTGAAACAACAGACGCCTTTGTTTGTTGGGAATACCACAGGAACAAAACGCACTAGGAGCCCTCGAAGTAAGAGGGAAAAGTCTCTACGTTAGCTGATTAACTAAGAGAGGAGGGAAAAGGTGATGATATGGCTACAACGTATCTCAGCTCCATCTATCAGGGTCTTGTAGGAAATATTAGCTCCGTTGTTTTGCAAGCAGCGTCTGGTTTTGTGTGAGAAACTGCGTGTTTGGGTTACTTCTACTCCGAGGAGAAGATACACACGATCTGAAGAATAAGCTAACGCTAACGGCGATTCAAAACAACCCCACGGCTGGCGACTTTGACTAAAGTCAGACAAAAGCGAGTCTAATTAAATGTTGGCTGTCCATCCATTAAGTACAAATAAAGAGAAAAACATAAGTTTCTTCACTTTAAAAATGACTGACATCCCATTCTGCTTGGCACTACAAAGAGTACGAAAAAAAAATCTGCTAGCACGCTTGCTACTTAGTGCCACAGACAAATAAACAGGACTGTTGAATGTTTTAGTCACCGCAAAAAAAACAGAAAAACGACTTCAAACATACTTTGAAATACACTTACCCAGTAAAGAGATGGAATGTGGTTGACTGGTCATTCAAGTACCTGACAGAAAAACCTGGCCGTTCATTTTAAATACACGTAGCGAGAGTAAAAAACTGTGTTCTCCTCCTCGGAGCCACCGGAATGATGGCCCTTCATTCATAGCTCAACCAAACATGCATTGCTACACGCAAAAAACCCACTCAAGTAGCTTCCTTAAGTCCCGCCTCCTCCTCATTTCTATTGGCTAAATCTTGGGAATCAGCGAATAACAAATTGAGAGACGTTCATCCTATTGGTCCTAACATGCATCTGTCATGCTTTAACGCCAACAATGGTGTTTTTGCAGTTTTGATTTTGATCAGTGAGAATTTGGTGGATACTTAGCCATTCATATTTTTTCAATATAGTGCAGTAAGCTACAATTTTATCATATATTTGCTTATTTCTCAGAAATCAAATTATAAAAAGAAAGCTCAAAAGTTACCTGTTTGACAAATGTAGCTAACAAAAAGCTAAGATTCAGTTTCTCAAAAAATATGGACATTTCATAAGACATTTGTTTATTTTTAAAACATAAATTGTATTTTATGTCTGTGTTACAGTCTATAAAAGTGGGTCAAAGTCTGATGAAGATGACTTGACGGCTGTCTAGCAGACAGACACTAGCACCTTTCACAAAAAGGGTGAACCACCATGACCACAAGGTCATTGTCAGAAACGCATGTTGTTGATTGGGTGCAGTTTAAATTCCATCATCGAAAAGTTTAGTAGAAGGAAAAAGTCTGGTATAAAAAATCTGTACAAGCAAAAAGATAATTGGAGATTAAGTAAAGCCTGTTCAAGAGATTGGGAGAGGTCCAAAGTCCTCTTTTCAGATTAAAGTGGGCCAATGTATTTTAAAGTTAACGTATGTATTGCCAGTAAATTTTAGAGCAATTCATGCTTCTCTCTAAGCTTTTTAGAGATGCTGATTTTATCTTGACACCTCCTCACTCTGGTAATGCCAATAACTATATTAATGATCAGTTTACTTGATGGACCA